GCTTTTGTTTCAACTAGAACACACCTTTTTGTGCCCAATGTCAACGAGGGTTCCATGTTTCTTAAGCGTCTCTCCCTGTATGGCCCAGATTCACTCTCAATTGCTAGTGAGGGACAGACATCTCTCTGGTCTTATTAGAGATGGGGTCTAGTGAGGGATAGACATCTCTCTGGTCTTATTGGAGATGGGGTCTAGTGAGGGATAGACATCTCTCTGGTCTTATTAGAGATGGGGTCTAGTGAGGGACAGACATCTCTCTGGTCTTATTAGAGATGGGGTCTAGTGAGGGACAGACATGTCTCTGGTCTTATTAGAGATGGGGTCTAGTGAGGGATAGACATCTCTCTGGTCTTATTAGAGATGGGGTCTAGTGAGGGATAGACATCTCTCTGGTCTTATTAGAGATGGGGTCTAGTGAGGGATAGACATCTCTCTGGTCTTATTAGAGATGGGGTCTAGTGAGGGATAGACATCTCTCTGGTCTTATTAGAGATGGGGTCTAGTGAGGGACAGACATGTCTCTGGTCTTATTAGAGATGGGGTCTAGTGAGGGACAGACATGTCTCTGGTCTTATTAGAGATGGGGTCTAGTGAGGGACAGACATGTCTCTGGTCTTATTAGAGATGGGGTCTAGTGAGGGATAGACATCTCTCTGGTCTTATTAGAGATGAGGTCTAGTGAAGGATAGACAACTCTCTGGTCTTATTAGAGATGGGGTCTAGTGAGGGACAGACATGTCTCTGGTCTTATTAGAGATGGGGTCTAGTGAGGGATAGACATCTCTCTGGTCTTATTAGAGATGGGGTGACTCCATAACAATGGGTAGGTGATTTGTTGATCTATCTCGTTGGCAAGTCGACATAGGGCTTACTGTTGAGCTTTATCCATAGGTTTGGCCTTGCACCCAGCATCTTATTCATGCTTCAGAAGCTATCGGCGCCAGAAGAATCAGATTTGACAAAAGATGCTTTAACTTCCTCATCAGTTTCACTCATAGTAGGCAGGGTCACCGGGATGTTTTTAGTAGGACGGGATGCTTCTGGAGGAAAACGAGAAGCAGAAAGTAATGAAAAGAAAACATCATTTGCTTTGTGCAAATATGCCAGAACAACACACATGATGACCTGAACACAGCCAGTGAAAGCAGGGGAAGGTCAAAGGTCAGTGGACGGCTGGCTCAGTGTATATGAGCCATGAACTGTAAAGGGTTTAATCATCAGCAAAGAGAGGGCTTGGGTACAACTGGAATACCTATCTTCCCATTACATTTACCATGAGCATTAAGCAAAGATATTTTACATCGCAATTAGAAGCTATCCTATGGAGCTTCACAGATCTACACACACCTCTTGTTGTCTCAAAGATACCAACCAGTGATATAATCACACTTTAGTTTGATAACCTTATATCAGCATTATTTATTTATTTTATTACGGGTACTTATGAAGCGATTTCAATTTACGCAATGCTTTACTAATATATTGTACATTCACATCAATCCCTAACCCTCAAGGGGCGTACAATCTAAGGTCCCTAACTCACATTCATACATACATAGACTAGGGACAATTTAGACAGGATCCAATTAACCTATCAGCATGTCTTTGGAGTGTGGGAGGAAACCAGAGTACCCAGAGGAAACCCACACCGGCACAATGAGAACATTAAAACCCCAGGCAGATGGTACTGTGGTTGGGATTTGAACCAATGACCCTAGTACTGCTAGGAAGAAGTGCTAACCATTTAGACACTGTGCATGCTATACCTGTATGTGTTAGTATAGGTTCACACCTATGCAGGTTGCATTTGGTGTGTTTCTGCATTGTGTTTTTCTCGTTTTTGATGCGTTTCGCGGGTTTTTTAAATTTTTCTTGTTGCTAGGCAGATTTTAAATGCAAAACGTATCAAAAATGCGGCAAAACACAGAAAAAAACGCAATACATACTTTTCTGCAGCGTTCCCATTGAAGTCTATAGAACCAAAAACGCAATGTTTTTTGTTCAGAAAAATCCCTGACTCTTTCCAAAAAACACACCGGGTGAAAACACAGAGATGTGAACCTGTCCCATAGGAAATCATGTTAAATGGACTGTACTGCATTTCTGCAAAACGCTGCAGAAAACGCTTGGGTGTGAACCTAGGGTTAATGTTACCCATGCCCAGCTTCTGTCTACATTTTCTTGGATTAAAGAAAAAGCAATCTCTTATTTTTAGTGAGCACTTATTTTCAAGTATCATTGCAGTGTTCAGTTTTTCCCATTTGTAAATGCTTTCTCCTCCATGTTTTTGGTATTGTATATAATATAGAAATCTAAAGATTAGATTAGCGATGTTTGACAATTTAAATTCCTTCTTCAAAATGAACTAAACGGTGGAAGCTGTGCCCCATATAAAAGGCAGGTGGAGGGCAAATATGCCCAATAAAAAGGCAGGTGGAGGGTAAATGTGCCCAATAAAAAGGCAGGTGGAGGGCAAATGTGCCCAATAAAAAGGCAGGTGGAGGGTAACTGTGTCCAATAAAAAGGCAGGTGGAGGGCAAATGTGCCCAATATAAAAAGGCAGGTGGAGGGCAAATGTGCCCAATAATAAGCAGGTGGAGGGCAAAAAAAATTAACAGATTCCCCCCAACCACACAATCAAGGTGAATAGGAGGAATCCTCCCCCCTGCACTATTATATTCTGACAGCAGGGAGAACTCCTGTCAGAAAGTACACAGATCAGCCAGCACGCTGAAGGGCAAAAAATGAACAGATTCCCCCCATCCACATAATCAAGGTGGATGGGAGGAATCCTCCCCCCTGCACTACTGTAATCTGACAGCAGGGAGACCTCCTCTGTCAGAATACACAGATCAAAGCCATTGGCTGCAGCCAATGATTAAGCAGATTTATCCGACAAGGCAGTTGAACAGACTTCAGTTCAACTGCAGTGGCCACACATGAATCGAAATTTGCCAGTCCCTGTTGAACCAGCCAAATTTTGATCCACCTATGGCCACCTTAAATCTCAGGACTTGATAGGTCAAAATATAACTCTTTTAGCAGGTAATGAAGCTTTGATATATGTATTTCATCTGTGTATTTAGCTATTTGCCTTGAGTTCAATTTTATTTATAATGATTCTCTGTGCCATGATAATTTTCTTCAGGAATGAGAGCTGGAAACAAGTCACATGGCATTATCCAATCCATTTATAGCTGAGTGAATGGAGCCTAGAAAGTGCAGTATAAAATCTAGCTGAGAAAAAAATTGAAAGCTCTTTTTTAATAATTTTATATGCTGTGTGCTGTGTTTGTCTTACTTTCCATAAACATCTTTTATGTGGATACATCTCTGACTTTCTTTTGCAGAGCAGATGGAAAGGCACAATAAAACGAATCACAGAGACCCAAGCCTATATAAACCATGCACAACCAACTTACAACACTAACCCCATGGTTTGCTGTACAGTGAATGTGGATTTAGCTATCTATCCATGTGGTGACCAACTCATGTTACAATCACAGCATCTACTGTAGTACAAGAGGTATTTCTGTGTGCCAAATAAGTAACAACACCAATCATTAGGTATGATCACTGGCTGGCTTAAGGGGAGAGGAGAGAGTGCTGACAACTATTGGAATACCTGGGCTGGGGCAAGACCATAATGGGCTTACTATGGGGCGTTCGTTGTCAGCTGTCCTTCCTCTCCCCTGAAGCTGGCCACTGGCAGCCAACCACGTTACTGGACTGGAGCGCCCTAAGAATAGGTGACCGGAGCACCCTGAGAATAGGTGACCGAGCACCCTGAGAATAGGTAAGTATAAACATCTTCATTCTACAGTTTAGTTAAAATAGGAGTTAGAAGGTGGATGGGAGCAGTTTTGAGCTTAGTTAGTTCTAGCCTGGACTTCCACTTTATTAAACATTATAAAATTTTCTTTTAAACACGGGTTGAGGGAATAAAGATCGCTCAATTCTGCCATCAACACAGTCAGTGTTTATGGGGGAATCCTCCCCACTGCGCTACTGGATTCTAACAGTAAGAGGTTTTCTCGCCGTCAGAATACAATGAGCACTGCTGCGGGCTTATGGACTACTTGACTTCAGTACAATCAGCCTGCCCATATGGATGGATCATAGATGGTTCCTGCTGGACTTGCAGAATTTCAATCCATCTATGGCTGGCTTTAAGCAGTGACTCTTTTGCTCAGCAGCCAAATAGTATTGCCAGAATATGAATTTCAAAAGAGTATGAAGATGACTTCAAGTGAACCTGTGCCAAGAGGAATATACAAGCTGCCATTGCTGGCCTCTTTTTTTGAACAAGCAAATTACCCATCTATCCTTCTGATCCTATGTCCTTGATACTTTGAGTGACTGAACCAGAACAAATACCTTCACTTGCTGCATACTTGTTCTTGGTCAGTGCCTCCATGTATGTAAATCAGAATCAGCCAGGCAACTAGCATTCTCAGGTGGTCAGCAATTATAACCTATGTATTTGTTCCTTTAACAAATATTTTGCTCTGGTAAACCCTAACTTTATCCGGATCAAAGTGTAAGTAACCCAATCACTAAAACCTAAGCTTTACCATGTTAATAATGTTTCAAAAGTAATTTTTCAATCTTTTTAAATCTATTCGTTTCATTGAAATAAGACCTGATAATGCTTCTATGGAGGTCCTTGTTCAGGCACTTCCTGTTATAAGATGACACAGTTCTATCCCTGTTTAACAACTACCCTACAGGGCACTTATACCCCCTTCCTGCCCAGGCCAATTTCCAGCTTTCAGCGCTGTCGCACTTTGAATGACAATTGTGCGGTCATGCAACACTGTACCCATATGACATTTTTATCATTTTTTTGTGACAGATAGAGCTTTATTTTGGTGGTATTTAATCACCTCTGGGTTTTTTATTTTTTCTTAAACAAACCAAAAAGCACTGAAAATTTTGAAAAAAAAAATGTTTTTTCTTAGTTTTTGTTATACAATTTTGTAAATAAGTGATTTTTCTCCTTCACTGATGTGCGCTAATGAGGCTGCAGTGATGGACACTGATAGGTGGCACTGATGGGGAGGCACTGGTAGGTGGCACTGATGGGCATTGACAGGCATCACTGATGGGCACTGAAAGGCAGCACTGATACATGGCACTGATAGGCAGCACTGATTGGCACTGTTAGGTGGCACTGATGTGCACTGATAGGCAGCACTGACTGGCACTGACAGTTGGCACTGACTGGCAGCACTGATAGGTGGCACTGATTGGCATTGATAGGTGGCACTGACTGGCACTGATGGGTGACACTGAAAGGCAGCTCAGATGGGCACTGATATGTGGCATTGATGTGCACTGGTAGGCACTATGTGGCACTGATGGACACTGACAGGTGGCACTTCTGGGGCCACACTGATCATCAGGTCACACTGATCATCAGTGCCCTGATGATCAGTGTACATGTCCCCTCCGCGGAAAGCCGATTACCGGCTCTCCTCTCGAGCTGGCAGCATGCAGCTCGAGAGGAGAGAAAAGCCGATAACCGGCATTTCCCTGTTTACATGTGATCAGCTGTGATTGGACACAGCTGATCACATGACCGAGCCGAATCTTTGGCTCTTTCCGTGATCGGTTATCCGCTGTGTCCGAGGGACACAGCGCACCGCCAATCGCCGCGCTGCGCACTTCCTGAGCCGCGAGTGCGCAGTGAGAATGGGAGGACGTCATATGACGTCCTCCCAGAATGAGAGAGCCACCTTACGCCCATCATATTACTATATGGCGGGTGGGAGGTGGTTAAAGCTGGCCAAACACTGATCGAAATTTTGCTGGATCAGTATGACTGGCCATATTTCAATTGGGCAGGGCGCTTGTCAAAAGTCAACTGTTTGATCAACTTCTGTCAAAGGGACATGCTAGAAAATTGTTGTCGATCAGCAACTGTGACCACTGTTAATTGTATTAATGACAGATCTAGGTCCCGCTGTCAGAACACAATGTCCTGGCAGGGAGGGATTCTTCCAGAAACTTTGTGTGGATGGAGAAATCTCTTCTAACCTTCTATGGGCAGCTTAACAATTATGCTGCTGCATTGTCACTTCGTCACACTTTTGATGCAAACTACACATGGCATTTTAACACACATTGCGTTGGCAAGGTCAACTGTTGTCACTATTAGGAAACCTGACCTGAGAAATGTCATGCAGCCATCCAGGGAGTGCATGTAGACATGAAGTAGCTACAAATTGGATACAGGAGATCAATGGCACTGAGACACAACCAAGGTTAAAAAATGTGAATGCGAGTCTTTTATTTTTAAAAATGCAATTGTTCACAAAATAGTGGTTTAGCAAATTAAATGTCAGTTTTGGGATCATGGCTGGAACTGCACTTTAAAATAAGCACCAGCTGCTACTGGAGTGTGCTTTTAACACAAAATTAGGTGACCTGATACTCCTAATAAAATGAAAGAGGCACGGCTAATTTAACTAAAGCAACAAAGAATTGGTTACTGTAGATCTCCTTTTTCGAGTTAACTACTATAGCAATCAGCATCCATTGTCAGCAGAATGCTTGCGGTACACGTTCCTCCCCATGCACTGACCAAGCAGCCACTTAGTTCTGGAGGTGACAATGACAATTTGCAGAGAACTGTGTCCTTAAGTGTCTGGCTAGGATCACTGGCAATGGCTCCAATGCCAGACGCTGACTGCTGGCTGCTTCTCACCCGCTGCACTAGCGGAGGTGGGGAGGGGGACAATTTGACGGCCTTTCTTTGCTCCATCTATGTTGGTATTCGGTTGATGTTGCCAAGAAACATGAGACGATTTTGGATTGTGAACCGTTTCCTGCATTGTGTTTATAATTACAGCTGGAGTGCACACTACAGAGGTTCTAATAAAAAGAAAAAAACTTTTATAGCAGCTTTAAAGCTTTTGTTTTCTTGTGAAAGAGAAAAGTGCTTCTCCACATGAAGGAACAAACTGATGCATGCTAACTCCGCCGCACAGAGCCGAGGATAGTCTGGCTACCATATAAGGAAAAGGCAACACATTGTTGGATAGTTTAACGGCTCGTACATGGAGTCCTGATCACACCTTGTATACTAAATCTTAGATCTTTGCCTGCTATTTTCCTCGCATGTGCCATGTTACAGATCTGTAATTTATGGTTACTGCTAACAGGTTAGAGAACGTTCACACATATGGGCTTATTTAAAGTGAAGATGTACTGGACTCCTAAAAATTTGATCTGCCAACAGAATAGCAAAGTGTTTAAAGCCAATTTTTTTTTTAAGTTTTGGATTAGTCAGGAAGCGTTTGAATCTTTGTCAGGTTTTATTGCTGCCCAAGTTTCCAATGGGGAGATTCACATGTCTATTTATCCTGGTGCCTAAGAAGGAACTAAGGATGGCCATATTGGGTCAATGATGTCACCGGCATCCTGAACCCAATAGGTGTGGATGTGGGGCAGGGAATTCCACAGTAAAATCTGATAGGGTTTGCAGGCTGATATTATGTGATAGTTCGGCAGTAACAATAGTCAAGTGGATAGAAAACTTTCCAATGTGATGAGAAAAAAAATTGAGAAGAAAAAGCATATTGTCCAAATACAAGTGGCATTTGTATTTTCAGAACCAAAAGAAATTTACAATGTGAAACTGTGCCTCTGTACAGGAACTTCCTTGTGCAGGGTGACTGGTCTTGTGTCCTCCCCCTGTAGTTTTCTGCAGGCAGTAGGTGGGCCTCCTGGGCCCCTCCCAGAGCTCTGCTGCTTGCTACTTGCTAGGTATAGCACAGTGGTGATGGCACCACTACTTTTACAAGATAACAGGGTTTGCAAAAGGCATTTGGTACATATAAAGTGGATTTGTATTCTTAGTGGCTGTAAAGAAATTATTTAAATGAAAGCTCTTGTGCCCAGAGTTCAGCTTTAGCTATCCCCTACTCTATTCAAGACATAATAAATAATGATGATTTTGTATTCGCTGTGAACTGATACAAGAAGTCAATACTTAACTGATGGATCCATTCTGGAAATTCACTCCAGCAACCAATAAGCACACTGATTTCCCTGAGGGGGAAGGCAGTAGGCTCTTCAATAACAGTCTTAAGCTGGCTATAGATGGGTAGAAAATGGTTTGAAAAATCATCTGAACGAGCAATCGTTTTACTTTCTAAACATTAGAGGGCTTATGTTGATTCTTGAAATACAAAGATTTATGGCAAAGAAAGTAATGGGAGTGTTGGAATGTTGTAGTGGCAACAAACAAACAATCTTCTAAATGTTAGTAATGGAATTGATCAGAAAAAGTGTGAAGAAAAATACAGCACATGAGCATGGTAAAACTTAATCCCGGAAACACAACAAAGATCTTTCTCCCCTCTGAACTTTCCTGCATACATGGATTCACAAAATTCATAAAGATGGGTGAATTAACAAGTAGTAATTGCAGATTAGATAACAGTTTGACATCCAATATTCTTTCATTTAAAGTAATAATGAGGCAAGACTACGGTAGGAACGAATATTGTACAATGCACCAGAGTGTCACCACATTCAAAAACAAGACAAGTGGTGGGAAAATGTATCAATGATGGCTTTTTCACATGCTCGTTTGACAGATCAACAGATTTTCTGAACATATTTCTACCCATCTATGGCTAGCTTTACTATGTGGGGGCCAGTATGGGACTGTGAAATGCCAAATGTTGCAGTCTGACAAGGCACTGCTCTCATTGGCTGCTGTTTTGAATTCCCAAGGCTCAAGTCTAGTCAAGAAATGGCTTCTTTGCCTCCTAATTAACACTGAGAGAATACTTTGGCTAAGGTAAATGCGTAAAACCAAGTAAGATCTGTTTAGAGCTACGATTAGTGTCCTGGAAGCCCCAATATAGGAGCCAAGTACTGAGCTGAATTTTTGCTTTTAGTAAAGCTATTGAACTAAAAAAAAAGAAGTGAAAAAAGACTAGAGATGCAGTTAGCCTTTAAAAAAAGACCCTGACGTCAATGTAAAAAACTGCAGATAGTCCCTACTCAATAAACCAAATAAAGATTTTTCCCTACCCCAAAATTTCAGACCAATATCTGTAATTAACAGTGACTTAAAAATTTATAGTAGGATATTATCTGACAGACTAGCACCTATAATTCCTTCATTGATATCTATTCACCAATCTGGCCTTATCCCTACCTGCCAGATCATGGATAATATTTCGGCTAGCGACTGATATCCAAGAGGCCAACTTGTTTTTAACCATTAGCCGCCCGGCCAATGGCCGTTTGGCGGCTTCAGAAGTGTCTCTCCGTTCCGGGTACACGCCATTTGGCGTGCTCCCTCACATGCGCCGTTTGCGCTAATGCAGAGCGGCGCAGCAGTGCGATCTGTCACCGGCCGTGCACCTCGGACACGGCCGATGACAGATCCGAGTACCGGCTCCCGTTGCTGGTACCATGTGACCTGCTGTGACCAATCACAGCAGGTCACATGACAGTTGTATACAATGGATGGCTTCATTCATGATGCCATCCATTGTATACTAGTGCCTAGCTGTGAATGGTCACAGCTAATCACATGCACATGTCATGTGATTAGCTGTGACCAAATTACAGCTAAGCACACACAAAAAAAAAAAAAAAAAAAAGCTGAATGAATCGATTTCATTCAGGTAAATGCTTGCTTATAGCAAAGTAATTCTTTGTTATAAGCAAATTGTGTAAAAAAAAAAAAATACTGATCACTTCCCCAAAGTAGTACAATGTTACTATGGTAACATTGTACTACTTTGGTCATAGTAAAATATGAAAAAAAAATCTTAAAAAAATAAAAAAAAAATGTAATAAAAAATTAAATATAATAAAAAAATAAAAAAAAATTAAAAAATATATATATTTTTTTTTTTCATACTGTCACCAGTCAGTGTCCCTGTTCACCGCCATGCCAGTTATATGATGACACTGTACTGCACTGGTGACAGTATGTAAAAAAAAAAAATAGTGAAAATAATTTTTTTAATTTTTTCATTTTCCGAAAAATTATGACAAAAAAATACAACTTCAAAAAACTCGCCATGCCTCTTATGAAGTACTTCGGACTGTCTACTCTGCAAAAAGGGGTCATTTGGGGATATCTGTACTATTCTGACATTCTTGAACCTCAAGAATATAGATTGGCTGTCAGTACTTTAGGATTGATCAATTTTCAGATCTATACCATAGTTTGTGAACTCTATAACTTTCCTACAAACTAAAAAATACATCCTAATTTGGGCTATTTTCACCAAAGACATGTAGTAGAATACATCTCTGCCTAAATTTATGAAGAACAATTATTTATTTGTAAACTTTTATAACAGAAACAAAGAAAAATGTTTTTTTTTTCAAAATTTTTGGTCTTTTTTTGTTAATTTAGCAAAAAATAAAAACCCCAGCGGTGATTAAATACCACCAAAAGAAAGCTCTA